AAAACCAGGAAAGATTTATGTCAGCTTGTGGTGTCCGAGGTTCAGTCCATGGTCCCTGGTCCTTTGTGGCCATGGTGGCACAGGTTGTTGAGGCAGGAGCATATGGCCAGCTGGCTTCCTTAAGACAACTAGGAAAGGAGTAGAGGAGAAAGGGCTAGGACCCTGAAATCCCTTTCAGAGGGGTCTCCCAGGAATCCAGCTTCATTCCCCTGGACCCCACCATGTGACCTTTACACCACCAGCTGGGGACCAAGCCTTTGGTCCAAACTCAGATTGGGGGGAACTGCTTGAAGCTTAGGGTGGAGAAGCTGGGGTGCAGGAGCCCCAGTCTGCACATGAGATCCCCCCTGCCCTTGGCTGCCTATTCAGCTCACCCGCCCAGCAGAGGTTTCCATCGAGATATTACAGCAGCCATTTCAGCTCCAGTGACCAATTTTTAAAAAACCATCTAACTTGCAGAGAAACAGGAGCAAATGAACCACGTTTAGGAAGAAACAGTCCTCTGATGCTGTCCTTAAAATGACCCAGATGTGGCAGTTAGCAGCGGGCGTGGTCAGGGTTCTCCAGGGAGACAGGTTCAGTAGACCACGCATAGACAGGGAAGAAGAATCTGTTCAGGAACCAGCTTATGTTCTGGGGAAGCCCGGGAGTTCCAGGCTATGGAAGCCTCAGGCAAGTCAGTGTCAGCCTGAGTCCTCGGGCCTGAGAACCCGGGGGCTGGGCTGTCACTGCCATCCAGTCCAAGGCCAGAGACCTGAGGTCTGGCAGAATAGGGTCAGGGTGCTGGTGGATGTCCTGGAACACAGTGACCCAAGAACAAGGAGTTCTAGTGTCTCAGGCAGGAGAAAATGACCGTCCTAGCTCTGGAGAGAGGGACAGAAAACATCTGCCCTCTCCCTGCCACTTCCGGTGGGCTGAACACGACCCACCCACTCCGGGGAGCACGGGCTCCCTCAGCCCTGTCTGCATTCCACTTCAGAAACACTTGCAGCCCCCCACCCCCGAATAGTGTTTGCCAGTTATCTGGACATCCCTTGGCCCAGCTGGTTGACACAGAAAATTAACCATCACAGCAGATTTATAAATATGGCCAAGGACTTGGAAGAAAATAGGACAGATGAACAGATGGGGAGACATAGCAGATAAATACACATTATTTAAAAATCATTTGAGGAAATTCTAAGGGTGAAACGCATGCTTTCTGAAATGAGCAGTCATGAGATCGGCTCAGTGGAGATCCACAGATGGCAGAAGGAGTCATTCAGCCTGACGATGGCTCTGTGAGAGTTACACACTCCAAATAATAAAAGCAAACCAGAGAAAACAAAAAAAGCCTCTGTGGGGCATGGCGATACACACCTCTAATCCCAGCTTTCAGGGAGGCTGAGGCAGGAGGATCACAAATTCAGAACCAGCCTGCTCAATTTAGTCAGCAAAACCCTGTCTCAAAATAAAAAAAGGGCTCGGGATGTAGCTCAGTGGGAAGGGCCTGAGCTCAGCCTTCATATACCATAGCACAAACAAATAAGAATCAGGATGGAGTCACATGCCTACCAATCAGGATCAAGTAGTCTAAAATGTTTTGTGTTCCAGAGGAAGAGCAAAGGAGGAAGGAGGGGAAAACACTGTGAAAAGGGCCAGCAGTTCCTAAAACCTTCAGGATAAAACTGCAAAATATTACCTAGAGAGACTCGGGACCTAAATAAGTGTGAGGTATACTATGTTCATGGATTGGAGGGGACATTAGAAGTCCATTCTCTGCAAATCAAAAATACACTTCCTGCCCTGAGCTCAGCACACTTTGTGTGTGTGTGTGTGTGTGTGTGTGTGTGTGTGTGTGTGTGTGTGTTTGTCTTTTTTTCATTTTTATTGGTACTGGGGATCGAACTCATGACCGCCTGCTTACAAGGCAGGTGCTTATGCCACTGAGCTAAATCCCCAGCCCCTACCTTTGTGTTTTTGAGAAATTGATAAAATGATTATCTAAAGATTATGTGAAAATGCAAGGGGCCTTAAAATAGTGTAAGCAGTCTTGAATAGAATATGGCTGGGGGACTTACACCACCTGATCTCACGGCTGTTATAAACTAAAGCAGAACAGTGGTATTCACACAAGGATTGATAGAAGTGGATTGGTGGAACAGGACACTGTGGAGGGCTCCAAAGTGGACTCATGTGTGGCCAGTTGGATTTTATCCAAGGTATCCTAGTAGTGTAGTGGGAAAAAGAAAGTTTTTGAGCAGTTATCCTGGAATGCTTGGATGGAGCTTTGGGAAAAGTGAACCCCTACCTCACTCCATATGCATAGTTAATTTGAGGTGAACCAGAGGTCCAAACATAGACTCTGAAAGTGTAGAGCTCTTGGAAGAAAATGCAAGAGAAAAGTCCTTTTTGACTTCAGCAAAGATTTTTAAGTAAAACAGGATTTTGTAGATAGAATTTTAGGGCAACATGAGAGGAAATATTGATAAACCAGGCATCATGAAATTATAAATGAAATTACAAACCAGGACACATGAAGACAGCAGGGGGAGGGTAACCAAGCCCTACGTGACCAAGCACTCGGTCCACCTTCTGCAAAAGAATTCCTAAAATTCAATGAAAAAGAAACCAATGCTGACTCTTAGAGATAGCCAGAAGTCTTAGAGAATTTGTGAGGGAAACTGCACAGTGAGTAGGTGGGAAAATCAGCATCACTGGTCATCAGGAAAACCAAAACTAGAACCACAGCAGGGCTCTGCCGGGTCCCCACCACTGCTGAAGTGAAAAGGACTGCCAGTGACGGGCACCAGAGAGGACACAGAGCCCCCGGAGCCATGGACGCAGGGGGCAGGGAGGCAGTGCTGTGGCCCTTGGGGAAAGCGCTGGGCAGTTAGCAGTTCCACTCCAGGGGGGGCGATCTCCAAAGGAGGTGAGTGTGTTTGTCCCCACACGCATGTATACACAGGGATGGTGTCCACCAGGCCACGGTGCCCCCTGGTGGAGGTGAGGTGACAGGAAGAGGAGGCTGCCGGGAAAACTGTAGGCCGCATGAGCCAAGTTGTGCGTCTGTCTTTGTAACCCCTGGAGAAAGTGCTGTGGAAACCCGCTCTAGCACCGTGAGCAAGCTGGTGTTCATGGGCACCCAGGACTGCGGTGTATCCTGGACACAGAGCCAGCCCAGGGGAGGATCGGCCTGGCTGCTGGGCACCCTGCTCAGCCCAGCTCCTTCCCTGGCCTGAGCTCATGCGTGAATTGTCGGCCTGGGAGCTGCCTGACCTCTTCAGAGTCCCGTTCTTATCCGAGGTCAAGGGCGTCCCTGTGCTCCTCTGTACTCTTCAGAGATGAGTGCTCAGTGTGCCCGGGCACCCAAAGTGTGTAGCTGGCTCATTGTATCCAGGCCCAGTTTGGTCAGCTTGCTGTTGCGACTGCCCCTAGTTCTCTGTTGGGGAGAACCCCAGCCGGGCAGAGCATGCCCTGGAATCTGGATGTCTCCACAGATTCAGCCCTCAGGCCCCATTAGCGTTCATCGGCTCGTGGGACATTTAGCAGGCAAAGCCCTCGTCCCGGCCACTTTCTCCTGCCCGGCTGAAGCTAAGCTGCACCCATCAACAGTGCAAGTGGTGCTTCCACCTCTCATCTTGGTTCCACAGGGTCAGAATTCTGTGCAGGGTTTGGGAGCAGGCACCGCTGAAGAGACTGGGTCCCCACAGCTTGGCAGGCAGAATGGGGGGCCATGCATCTATGGACAGGAGGCTGACTGAGGTCATCATCAGTGTCCTGGGGGTAGAGCTCACCAACACCACCCTGTCCTGTGTGGGTGCTGGGGGACCGCACCCCAGTCTGTGGGTGCTGTGAGCTGATATTGCCCAGGCTAATGGGGATGGTGTTGCATCTGAGGCAGGCGCAGGCACAGGAGGGCTAGGCGGTGGTGGGTAGGCAGCTCTTCGCATCCCCTGCTGGTCTGACCCCTGGCCGGGTCCCAGGCCTCACACCTGGAGTGGGCAGGTGATGCCCTGTGGTTGTCCCTCATAGCTCTGGGCTCCTCCTCCAAGTTCGACCTTTGGTGATCTGACCCAAACTGACAAGAGGCTATGGTGCCGTTTGGGGGTCCCTGCTGTGCGTGTCTGCCCTGCTCCATTCCTCTTTGGTCCTGGCAGCAGGTCTCAGAGAGCAGGGCTGCTCCTGGCCATGCCTCCCAGAGGAGACTGGCCCGGCCCCGTGCTGAGCCAGGCTGAGACCAGGCTCACTTTGCTGAGGGCAGCAGGGCCAGCCTGAGCCCCCACGCTGCCTGGCTCTGATCCTCCGGGTGCAGTGTCCTTAGCTGGCGGCACAGTGGTGCTGAGTTGGGCCATCACCAGCAGAGCAGTGCCTTGGGCCAGGTGTAGGTGCCCCAGACGGAGGCTGCATGGTCTCAGGGCAGGTGGCTTCCAGCCATCACTCTCAGACCTGGCAAAGTGGTCCAAGGCTGCACGCCGAGCACCTGATGCCCAGGGCAGGGGGAATTGGTAATGCACTGGGCAGGGTCCCACAAGGCCTAAGGTGGGAGGTGCCCGTGGCCTCAGTGCTGCAGGCAGTGGGGAGCCAGGGGCACTTGTACCCTCACCATGCGTGCTGAGTACTCTTGTGTGTCATAGCGCAGGCGGGATCTCCCTCTGGCCACTTGGGAAGGCACAGCCTGGGCCCTGGGTCCCTGTCCTCTCTGCTGCCAGGCCACCTGGTGCAGAAGACCTCCATGTGTGGCCTTGTCCCCTTCCCTCACCGTAGGCCTCAGGGCTTGGCAGACCCTGAGTGCAGAGCTCAGAGCTCTGGCTAGAGGCAGGAATGCAGATTCTGGGAAGCAGGGGTCTTCCTGGCCAGGCCCTGGCCTCCTGCTGTGTCACCAGCGTTTGCCTCAGCAGGTGACCAGGGCTGGTGGCCTCCAGAATACCCCTGGGGATGGGGAGCCTGAGGCCGAGGTGGCGAGACTGCCGGGCTGGCCCGGGCCACCAGCTCCTCCGCTTACCCTCCTCTCCCTGCAGCGAACATGACCTGGGCGAGGATATCTACGACTGCGTCCCCTGCGAGGACGAAGGGGACGACATCTACGAGGACATCATCAAGGTGGAGGTGCAGCAGCCCATGGTGAGACTGCGCCCACCTGCACCCCGCCTGGCCCACCCTGTTTCATCAAACACTGCCCCCACGGGCCCCCCACAGAGCGTCCCTGTCTCCCCTCGTGCTCCCTGATAACCTCCAGAAGCTTTCCTTTAAAGGTTTGGGGTTCCAGTCCTGCCCAAAGCAGTGGCTCTGCTCGGGCCCAGTGCCACACGGCTCTTCTGCCCTTTGTGTGGCGTGCCAAGAGCCTGGCATGAGCTGTCAGCCAGCTGTGTCTTCATGCCCTGAGGATTTTTTATTTCCACACAGGCATTGTCTAATCTCTTGGATGCCAGTTTGCTTGGTGCGGGTTTATTGGCAACAGCTGATTGGGGAAGGTGGGGTCCTGCAGGCAGGCTGTGGGGTACACAGTCCCCTTGGGCCGCCAGGCTCCTTGCCAATAGTGGAGGCTGTGACCCTTTGCGTTCCCTGAAGACACGGGAGGTTTCTGGAGAAGCAGATAGCATGGCTGGGGCAGCACCAGCGGGTGGTAGAGAAATGGGAAGGCGGGGAGACCCCACAGGGAGGGGAGGGGAGGGGAGAGGAGGGCCTGCAGGGGCCTCTCAGCACCATGGTCTCCCCTTGACAATGGGGGTCTCATTTTGTCTGAAAGATACTGAAGCTCCACCCCCAACACCTTGTCAGGCTCTTTGGAGAGGCTGGAGAGCCCTGCAGCTGTCTCTGCTCCTCAGTCCTCCTGGTGGTCTCGTGGGGTCCTGGAAGACCTCCGTGACCCTCGCTGTCCAGAAAGGGCCTGCAAAACCCCACCAAGCCTTTGGCAGGGCTGTACCCTTGGGGATAGCCCTGGTCCCTCGTTGAGCACTGGCCCCCTAGGGCCACTTTCCTCCTGAGCCCTTGCAAGCTGGGTGTCCTATGGGTGACATGAGCATACAGGGGTAGTAACCTCAGTGGAATTCGGGGTGTCCCTACCCCAGGATATGCATGTTTCCCTGAGACTCCCACCCCCAGCCAGACCATGGTGGGGAGACTCCTGGGGGGCTTCTGCTGTCCCTGGTCCTGACGCACAGGAAAGGACATGGGTCATTTGTACAGTCTGCCAGGGTAGGAACCAGCTCACCCCTGCTCCTGGCCTTGCCAGCATCCAACACTCCTGACCTTTCCCGTCCACTCCCTCGGGGGCTTCCCCTCCCCGAGGCCTGTCCCAGCTGCACCTCCCAAGAAATCTCGTGCAGGGTCCCCTGGTGGCAGCTTCTCTAAGGAGGACATGGTCCCCGCCCTGTCCCGAGAGGCCTAGACAGGCCTGTCCTGGCGGCTGGGTGGGGGGACTCAGGTGCTGGCTTCCCGAGCTGAGCTGGGGGGCACAGTGGCCGTGCTGACTCTCGCTCTCTTCATCCCCACGCTCTCAGATCAGATACATGCAGGTGAGTGGCAGGTAAGGGGCCAGGAGAGGCCTGAAATACCAACTTCTCCGCCTTCCAGGTCCCTTGGAGAGAACAAGGGTCTGCGTTCCCTGGGGCCACTGTCAGGCTTGTGGGGTGGCAGGGGTCACGGGCCTCCGCAGTCCCCATGAAGCTGCAGGTCAAAGCTCTCTTGCACGTTGCTTTGGAGCTGGGCTGCTGCACAAGGGGCCTTCAGGGTGGCTCCTGGAGGGTGGCATAGGCTTGGCTGCAGGTGGCACTGGGCAAAGGCTGGGCACACAGCATCATGCCGCTTGACCAGCACCTTACGGGTGGCTGTGTCTTGCTCAGCCTGCAAGACCCTAAAGAGAGTGCTGGGGAGAGCTGCTTATCCCTGGCCATGTCCCCTGCCTGTGGTGTGGCCTCTGGAGGGCCCCCACGGTGGCCAGCACTGCCTGCTGGGTGGGACTGGTGGACCCTGCCCGTGTGTGCTGGGGCCTCCAGGGTCAACATCAGAGGAGCAGGAGATTGGAACTCTAGGAACCTCTGTACTTTGATTGGTGTCTCATCTCTGTCCCTCCTCATTCCTTTTCCTCAACTGTAAAACCATGGGGAAGGACTAGGTCCCCTGTGTCCTCCACTAGGACCTCACAGCCCCCCAGCAGGCACCCTATTGTATGGGGCATGAAGTGGGGGCTTCGAAGTCCTGACATGCACATGGTGGCTGGGCAGGGTGGCCCGGGCTGAGGTCTCACGTCCTCCCTAGAAAATGGGCATGACCGAGGACGACAAGAGGAGCTGCTGCCTGCTGGAGATTCAGGAGACCGAGGCAAAGTACTACCGGACCCTGGAAGACATCGAGAAGGTGGGGCGGCTCTCGGCTGGGCCACGGGGAGGCGTCTGGTGTCCAGGGTGCGTGAACATCAGGCTAGGAGTCAGGGCAGCCACCTTAGGGAGCAGGACTTAGCAGCCCCTCGGTCTCTCCAGTAGCGGCGTGACCACACCAGGAGGCCACCTCACCTTTCTTCCCGCTGCAGCCCCACCCATCCGCGCTGTCTCTCCTCTTGTCTTGAGTCCTGGTGGTTGCTGTGGCTTCTGCCCCCAGCATGCCCTGGGCCAGGCACTGTGCTGAGCATCTGTCTGCACCCTTTCTGGGGCTGTTCCCACTCTGCGCCCAGGCTACACCCACTCTGTGTCCCCCAATAATGGTGGCCATGCTGTGGACGGCCAGGGCACCCTGCACTGGGTCGTGATCAGGTCATGGGACGTGGGTGCAGACCCTGAGCTCCCCTGGGCGTCCTGGTCCCCTGCCCCACCACTGGGCCTTTGATGCTTGTGGAGTACAAAGGGCAAGGCCCTTTCTAACTACAGGGCACCTGCTGAGGGTGGCTGTGTGGAGCATGGAGTCTGCTGTGGCCATGACAGGGACGTCTGGCTGGGGCACAGGCAGCGTCCAGTCCAGAGCTCTTGCCCCCAGCCGACCCCATCTGGGCCTCCCCAGAGCTCTGCTTGACCACAGGAGTGAAGATTGGGACCGTGGCTCAGCCCCTGTGTCCAGCAGGCCCTGCCCAAGCATAGTGGGCACCGTGACTGTGGCTTGGCGGTGGCAAGTGGGCAGCAAGGGCTTCTGTCTTCCAGAACTACATGGGCCCCCTGCGACTGGTGCTGAGCCCGGCAGACATGGCAAGCATCTTTATCAACCTGGAGGTGAGTGTTCCAACCCTGGCCCCTGCTCATGGCACCCTGCCCAGCTGCCATCCCCGGTGTCCCAGGCAGTCCCACGGCTGACAGGTCTGGGGACAGCAGCGCCGCTCTGTGGGGAAACCGACTTCAGGCGGTAGCAGGAAGAGGTTTATGGGCTCTGCAAAAGGGGTCTCTGAAACTCTCTGCCCAGCTGCCAAGGAGGCACCGATGGCCCCAGCCTTACAGTGGCCACTTGAGTTCCATGGAATGGAGTGAGACTCTGGGGCAGTGGAGGCAACAAGTCCCTCACTCTTGGGCAGTGTCTGACCCTGCCACCTTGGCTCAGGTTAGGCAGCAGCTCTGGCCCCAGCCAGCTTCCTGTCAGCCTGAGGGCATCCAGGCTCTCGGCCTCAGCCTCGCCTCGCCTGGGCCTGGTGCTTCCTGCTCTCCATGCCCAACCTGCTGATGGCCAGGACAGATGATCATAGACAGGAAGGAAGCCAGGGCAGGAATCGAGGACTTCAGGGCTGCCCCCAGTGATCGTCTGCTGCAATGTGGGCAAACCTGGCACCCCAGGCTGCCCTCTACCCTGACTCTGTAGGGCCCTTGAACCAGCTGCCCAGATCCCTTGGCTCCAAGAGCAGCCATGAGGGCCCAGGAACCAGGTGTCCTCCCTTCCCTGCCCTACTGGCACTGGAGCCTGGCCTGGGGCCATGGTGTCCCGGGTTAGGGTGCAGCCCAGCCCCCAGCCCCTTGTCAAGCCTCCTGGGGCGTCCGGAGGGCAGTGGTGGGTGCCTGGGGACATGCTGACTGCTCTTCTCCACCCAGGACCTCATCAAGGTGCACCACAGCTTCCTGCGGGCCATCGACGTGTCCATGATGGCTGGGGGCAGCACCCTGGCCAAGGTCTTCCTGGAATTCAAGGAGAGGTGAGTGAGTGCTGGCCGTCGCAGGAGGGTATTCGGGAGTTTGGCTCCCGTTTAGATGTTTCAGTCCTTGCACTGTGGACAGATGTGGAAGGGGCTGGGTGAGGGAGAGCTGCTAACCTCATGACACATAGGAAGCAGTGTGAAGGGGAGCCCAGGTCCCACCTCTTCCCACCAGACCCCGCCTCTTCCCACCAGGCCCCCTGCTTCCTAGCAGTAGTCAACTATGATGCCCCATGATGCAGTCACCTTTCAAACATGGCTTCAGGGGCTGTGTTAGATCTAAAGCATAAGAGGAGGGGACTCTCTGGACCCAGAGACCCTCTCTCTGCCTCTCTTGCTCCCCAATCTTGGTGGCTGGCATTGTGTGGTTTTAGCTCACCATTCTGTGCCCCTCGTCTGCTGAGGCCTTGGGCCTGTGTGCCCCTGGGAGGCCACAGAGCTGCTGGCATGACCATGGTGTTTTCCGGGGGGCTGTAGTACCCTGCCTGCCCCGACAGACCCCTCAGAGGGGAGGCGCAGGGCTGTCATCAGGCTTCTCGCTTCTAACAAGGCAGCCAAGCCCGAGTCTGTGGATGCCTGCCAGGGCATCCTGGGCACCCACGCAGCCTGCAGCCCTGCATCGAGGGCCCCAGGAACAGCAGGCAGCAGCAGCCCCAGGCCAGACAGCACTGTGGGGACTTGGATGGGGTGAGGTCCACTTCCCTAACCCTGGGGTCATGGGCCAAGGCAGGGCCTGATAGCCTGAGGACTTGAGCACAGGTGTGAGGAGCAGCTGGTCAGCTCGAGTGGCATAGGACATGGGTGGCCTGTGGTATCTCTGTCCATGTGAGACCTGGTGACCGCATGGCTGGCCTCTTGTCTGGCCTATTTTCCAGGCTGGCTACTGGCCTGTTGACCATCCTTTTGGGAGGCTTCTTTCTGCCCTTGCTGGGGGCCTTAGTGGCTGTGTTCAGTTTTTTAGGAAGAGAAAATGACACTTTTTCCCTGTGCCTCCAGAGGTGGGGATTGTAATCAGTTTTACATTAAAATTCTTAATTCAGGAGCAGACTCACTTAAGGGGAATGGAGGGTTTGAGTCTCATCCAGGGCCCATGGTAGTGGGCAGGGAGACCTGGGGTTTTGCAGCCATGGGGGCAGGGCCACATGGGCACTGCCCACAGTGTCTGTCCTCAGCTATCCTCAGCCTCACTGCAGCTGGAGCTGCTCAGCCATCCCGGAGCTACAGTGGGACCCAGCCTCGGCCAGGAGTCCCTGCAGGGTGGTGCAGGAACCTCAGGGAACCCTAAGGATGGAGCCATAGCTCAGCCAGCTTTGTCGGCCTGCAGGCATGGGCCCAGAAAGGGGACCCAGTGAGCTTTGGGGAATATGACGTGGGGCCTGAGCCTGCTCTGAAGTGACCCATCCCAGGTGGGAAATGTGTTCCTCCCTGTTGACTCCAGGGCTGAGTTTTGGTCCTGACCACCTAAGGCCTGGGACAGGAGATCTGCCCAGAGTTCTACAGGGCAGACCACTTACCTGAGAGCTCAGCCGCAGCAGGAGCTCAGTCCATGGAAGTGTGACCAACGTCTTTGGAGTCTTGCAGAGTGCCCCAGGGGACGAGGCGTCTCTGATGGCAGACATTGCCCAGGGCCAGGGGTGGCCTTCCATCTGTGCCACTTCTGTGGCTGGGTGTCACCATCAGCTGGTGGTTCTTGGGCAGCACATGGAGACCCCAGTGTCCCTGCCCCAGGAGTGGGTCACAGGGTCGTAAGCTGTCAGCTGACCAGCACTGGCCACTGTTGTCCTCGTGGTCACCAGCACTGTCACCCAGAGTGGGTCTCCTACAGGGGCTTTTGTGTCTTCAGGGCACGAGGACTGAAAGTCAAGGTTGCATGTGGTTGCCCCAGCCCCAGGGGATGCTGGTGTGTGGCTTCTTATAAAAGTCAGCCCTCAGGAACAGGGTGAGGACCCAGCTGAGGGCACGGGAAGGACACAAGGGCAGCAGGTGGCAGTGTGTCATATCCTGGGTAGAGTCCTGGCCTCTTCCATGTTCTCAAGAGGAGGGCGCTTATGCCACGTCCCTGCTGGGGAACCCCAGAGCCCTGCAGGGACCTCCCCTGGAGAAGAACCCAGCTGCCACTGCACTGGCGACAGACCTGAGGCTGCCAGTCTGAGTGGCGATGCCTGCTCTTCTCCCATGTGACCCCATCTGAGGTAGTACAGCGGCTGGGAACCTAAAGTAGAGCTGGGGCCCTGACCCAGGTCGAGCTACGGGAGAGGAGTGGGCACTGTCTTGTACCCAGGATTTGGCCATCCTGCTCCTGGCCAGGAGGGGAGAGCAGATCTGGGGCAGCTAGGAATGGTGCCTGGTGTTCATGCAGCCCCTTTGAAGGAAGCGGGTCACCTCGGCATGCACCTGGTACTTGGGTGAGTGCGTGCGTGCGTGCGTGCGTGTGTGTGTGTGTGTGTGTGTGTGTGTGCACGTGTGCACGTGTCTCTGCACACCTGTTGGTACCCTCCCTGCTGGTCTTTGCTGCGAACATTGTCACTGCTAGGCCTGTGCAGGCACGGGTCCCCGCCCACCTGCCCACACATGCCCCTGCCCGCAGGCTGCTGATCTACGGGGAATACTGCAGCCGTATGGAGCATGCCCAGAGCACGCTGCACCAGCTGCTAGCCAGCCGCGAGGACTTCCGGCAGAAAGTGGAGGTGAGGCCGCTGCGGCCCTTCCCGAGTGTGCTGGGGATCAGGTCTGTGGGGACAGAGCACGATGCCCCTGGCTGGAAGGTGCCTGAACCTTGGGTACAGTGTGACTCAGCCAGGGTATGAGCCTTGACCCTGCTGCTGCTGACCACAGGAGTCCATTGCTGGAAGTGGCGGCCTGGGGGGGGGGGCTTCCGTTCTCAGCCTGTTGTCCCCACACTCCAGGTCCCCGTGTCTGGTGGCTGCTACTGCTCGTGTCACTATTGGGCATGGACAGGAGTGTCCTCAGCGTCCTGTGGCCAGGGCAGCTGTGGGAGGGTGGGCAGGGCCCTGTGCTCCGACTGGAGCCCCAGAGTGTCACAGTCCCCAGGGTGTGAGCCTCGATGTGCCCTGCCGCATGCGGTGATGCCCTCACCCTTGTACATGTGGCATGCAGCAGGCCAGGTCGGGCCCCAGCATCTCTTATGTGGGCTGTGTCCCCCAGGAGTGCACGCTAAAGGTCCAGGATGGCAAGTTCAAGCTGCAGGACCTGCTGGTGGTGCCCATGCAGCGTGTGCTGAAGTACCACCTGCTGCTCAAGGTGAGCCGCTGTGCCTGTTCCACACTCCATGCGTGCCAGCTGCAGCCCATCAGGGCGCAACACACACAGAGCCTCACAGCTGCTGGCATGCCTTAAGGGTGGGTGCGGTCACATGGCTAGGAAGGGGGATTAAACCAGGAGTGAGGTTAGGAAAAGGGGAGGAGACAGTGCTGTGTCAGCTGGTCAGGAGCTTGGTGAGCTCCCTGGGACCCACAAAGACAATGGAAAGAGGAAAGACTGGGGGAGGGATGAGTCTTCAAGTGCTTTCATGAATCAACCAGTGACCTTAGCCCAGCCTGTTGCTTTTGATGTTCCTGCCACAGTGACCCTCCCACCATCCCCAGCACTAGTGAGCACCTCATCAGTATGGGGTACCCCAGGGAGAGGGTCACTGTCTACAGGCTGTAGGCAAGGGTGGCTTTGTCCCCAGGACTTTGCTGTGATACAGCTGAGCTTGGTGGGGGCTGAGGGTAACTGGGACTCCCTGTCCCCCTCAGGAGCTCCTGAGCCATTCTACTGACCGGCCAGAGCGGCAGCAACTCAAAGAAGCACTGGAAGCCATGCAGGTGGGTGGGTAAACTGAGGCATAGCGTTCCCAGGCCAGTGTGGCACTTTGCACCTATGCCTGTGTTCTGGGAGAGCAGCCTCTGGGAGGCAGCGCTCTGGGACAGACCAGGGTGGGGCCAGGGCGGGGTGGGTGACCACGGTGGAGGACGCTGCAGGTTGGGTGCTGGCCCCAGTCTCAGCTGGAGTGTGGGGTACTTGTCCCTCAGTGCCTGGGTTCCCAGCATTCCCACGCCACAGCACGTGGCTCATGCAGCCGGTGTGTGTCCTGGTGTTTGTGAGCTTGGCTTTGCTGGAGATGGAGGGGCCCTCGCTCTCTGCATCTGCAACATGGCTCGGGCAGAAGCCCGGGCATCTCATGGTGTGGGGGGCCCTGTCTCATGGGGCTTCCGGCCCAGTCCCGGGTCCTGCCCCTCATGCTGGGTTCTTGTCTCGGGGTCAAACTTCTAGTCTTCAAAGCAGGAGGCACGAGGGACAAGGAAAACAGTGACCTCCAAGCCCCTTAAGCTCAGTCCTGTGGGTGTGGACATCCAGGCCTCAGAGCAAGAAATGGTGGGCAGAAGGGGGGTAGGACCAGCCCTTCTGGGCAGGGCAGGGTCCGCATACTTTCTCTGCTGGCCACAGGGTCCAGATCGCTTGCTAACTTTTGGGATCGTGGCGGGCACTGCCCCCTGGTGACCTCTAGGGAAGTTGCAGCTGGCCCTGCAGGCTCCCGGCTGACGCTGACTGCCCACTCTGTCCAGGCTCCCCGCTAAGGTGGGAGCAGGTAGGGTGGCCTGGTTGCATGGGGTGGAAATGTGATCTCCGACCTAGCTTTGAAGAAGGATCCTGGCCAGGAGCCTGCAGGTTGGGATTTGCAGCCTTGGCTCTGTGGGACAGTTGCCCACCTCCCCGGTTCTGCTCATCTCGAGAGTCAGTTGCCACGGCAGGGTATGGCCTGGCCCTGACCCCTGGTGCTGGTCTCCAGGACTTGGCGATGTACATTAACGAAGTGAAACGGGACAAGGAGACGCTGAAGAAGATCAGCGAGTTCCAGAGTTCCATAGAGAACCTGGTGAGTGTGGCCCCAGCTGTTACCACAGGGATGGTGGATGGGGCTTGGTTAGGTGCTCCTGTGCCCTGGGGTCCTGGCATGTAGGGCAGACATTGCCCAGGACCTGTCCTGGGGCTGCTCCGGCGAGGTCTGGGGACAGGAGATGACTGTCTCCCTGGGGAGCACAACCTCAGCTTGTGCCCTGGGTGTCATCAGTTAGTGGGGCGGGCACAGCACCCTGCCATCTCCCCTGAAAGCCACTGCAGTGTCTCCTCACGGACAGCTGCCCCTCAAGTGGCAGATTGCCTGATTGAGAACCCTCATTTTGCCATGGACACTTCCACTCCTTGGGGATTTTCACTGCTGGCGCACAGGCAGTGGACACTCGGACGTGGGGCCAGCGTGCACCCTGTGCCTGTTCCTCACCCACTGCGGCCAGCGGCGTGGAGTTCTTGTCCTGCTGTGTCACATAAAGGAGCAGAAAGCCGTGGCTGGACTGCATGGCCCTTCCTCGTGTTTCTGTCTGCTCAGAAGACACAAAGCTGCCCAGGTGTCGGCGGGAGCCCAGGCACCGAGGCTTCAACACAGTGACCTCAACACAGCGACTGGCCATCCGCTCATGACACGAGGAGGACACTGAAGCTTTCACCTGTGCCACCTGCCTGCTTGTGAAATGGGAACAGAATGACCTCCCGATGGCACTGGCTTCCCCCAGACCTGGCCTCCTTCTGCCCTGGCTCGGCCTGATTTTCTTCACCTGAGGGCCTGGGCCGAGGCCTGGCATCCTGAGCAGGTGCCCGCTATGGTGTCACAGCCACTGCCCTCGCTGCTGTGGGACCTCAGGGAACTCGGGCCGGGCCGGGCTGGGCCACTCATTCTGGCCATTTCGCCTTCCTCATCCCGGCAGCGTAGATGTAAGAGGCATTTCTGGATCAAAGCAGCAGTGGACATGTCCAGCCAGCCACTGAGATGAACCTGGAGCTCCCAGGCAGGGCTTTGACCTCGAGCCCTCCCTGTTCCCTGCCCATGGCCGCCCCTTTCCTCACTGCTTTTTTGGGGCCTGGTGTGTGGCTTCTATCAGGTTTCACCTGGGGCTCCACATGGCAGGGCCTGTAAGCGTGACCAGAACCTCCTTTGTGCCCATGTAGGGCCAGCCAGGGTGGGGACAGCGGCCTTCAGATCTCGTCCCTGCCTGCTGTCTGCTTTGCTCATCCTCAGCGTGGCTGGGAGCCATCCCGGTGTCTGTCACCAGTCTGTGCCTGGCTCCCCTGTGTCCCCCGCCTGGGGCATCTGGCCCCTGCCTTGCTGCTAATGGCTTTCCTGCTCTTTGCCAGCAAGTGAAGCTGGAGGAATTTGGGAGGCCAAAGATCGATGGTGAGCTCAAAGTCCGGTCCATCGTCAACCACACCAAGCAGGACAGGTGAGCGGGGGCAGTGCCTGGGGTGGGGGGCACATCCTGTCCCAAGGCTCCCGGCCTCTCAGTGGCCAAATCAGGCTCCACGCTGCCTAAGTTTAGTGGCTTCCTTCTTTCCTTCTGAGTGTTGGTGAGCTGGGGCAGACAGCAGCCTGGACCGCGGGCTGCCTCCCACACAGGCCCTGCCCAGTTGGGCTTCTGCCAAAGGACCACCAGGAACAGGTGGGCAGAAAGCTAGGGGCATGGCACTGGCGCGATCCACACAGGCCTGGCATCCTGTGGCTACACCTGCCGTGTGCCAGGGGCCAGGATCACAGCAGACTCAGGTTCTGCCCTTGGATGCTTCCCAGAGTCCAGGGGGGACAGAGAAGTAAGCCAGCCCCATCTGTGGGGTGAGCCAGGGAGGGCAGGGTGTACCCCTAGAGGCAGTGGCTGGGTGCTGATGGCTGGGCACACTCCCCGCCCAGGTACCTGTTCCTGTTTGACAAGGTAGTCATCGTGTGCAAGAGGAAGGGCTACAGCTACGAGCTGAAGGAGGTCATCGAGCTGCTGTTCCACAAGATGACCGATGACCCCATGCACAACAAGGACATCAAGAAGGTGAGCACGCTGTGGGGCACATGGGCTCCCCGGGCGCAGCGCTGGGTTTCTGAGGCTGGGGCCTGGCGGAAAGACTCTAACGTGGATTGCTGCAGAGGGGCCCAGCAGCATGGGCGGGCACACCGAGACCCTGGCTCCCCAGGGCCAGGCCGGGCAGAGGCTGGCTATCAGCCTTGGTGTGTCTTGATGACCTCTCCCTTTGCCGCAAGGAGCTTCCCCTTGCCTGCACTCCTGTTGTCCCGAGCAGGCCGGGCCTTGGTGGGAGGGAGGAGCCTAGTGTGACGGGGCTGAGGCGGAGGCTGCTGTGATGGGTGCTGAGCCCTGGTGCTCTGGGGAGATGGGGCCCACAGCACCTACTGAGTGTGGCCCTGCACCAGATGGGCAGGCACCAAGCTCATGGTGGGGTGCACACCCAATATGCACAGTGCTGCCCAGGCCTGGTGTCCCAGCCGAGCAACTGGGGCCCTGGAGGTGGTGACCTGAGGCTACTTCCCAAGTTCAGGGCTTAGCCCAGCTGAAGTCGGGGCCCTTTCCCTGGTTAACACAAGCTGGGCACATGGCAGGGCCGAGTCCTGCCTCCCCAGGCCGCTGTGCCCCTCGGTGACTGTCTCCCCCTTTCCTTCCTGCTGCTCACGCTTCCTAGTCTCATGGGAAAATGGTAAGCACCCCACGCCTGCCCCACGCCTCCCTGGCTCACTGCTGGGTGCGGGTCCTCTGCACCGAGCTGGGTCTGGGCATGGTGGGCCTGGGTCTCTCTCCTCGCCATGAAGGTGACATGTTCGTGACAGAGATGTGTGCATTACAGAGTGTGACAGGACCCCTGCCCGTGGCAGGCAGTTCCTGGCTGCCTGCGGGGCCGCTGCAGTCTCTGTCTCTGTCATCCATTTGCTCCTCCAGTTCTTTCCCTCCTTCCTGCTCGTCTTCCCTAACACACGTGGCTTGTGTGTCCCAAGTGCTGGCCACCAGCCCCTTGGAGCTTCCCAGGAGCCTTGGGGCAGGTGTGGGCCGCTGGAGGGGTGCTTAGCACGGTTTAAAAACCCAGTGGGGTTTTCAAAACTTTTGTTTTGTTTTGTTGTACATCAGAGAAGGGCGATTTTAGCATGGGACCAAGGACGCGGGAGTTGAGTCAGGTTCCCCCAAGTATGGCTCCCTGACCCTGGCTGAGCTGCGGCCCTTGATGGGGGTCACTCATGGGCATGGGGACCCCAGGGTCCTGCTAGAGGGCGGGTCCCCCAGCATGCACCCCACTTCACATGCACATACACGTGCACACTCAGCAGAGCGTCCTTGCAACACAGGCCTGGTATGACGCACGTGTGAGAGCCCTGTCACACATGTGCATATGCATGTGAGCACTGTGCCGTCACACTGGTCAGCACACACATGCATGGACATGTGAGCATGTGTGCACTCATGCACAGGTCAGAACCCATGTGTGCACATATATGAGTGTGAGTGTGCGCAGACACCAGTCAGAACATGAGTGCACACGTGTACACACGTGAGGATGCCATATGTGCATGGAGGTCAGGACAAGCACACACAGACACAAGCCGGAACACACGTGTCCATATGCGCACACTCCTGCAGCGGCACCCAGTGCATGCTGTGCTCACACTCGAGGTACCCTGGCACGCTTACAGTCCCACGCCGTGAACACACACGGGTGGATACTTGGCCACACCCTGTGCTGCACAAGCACATTGCACACACACGAGAACGTGTACACGCCCAGGCACACATGCACAGGTGCCAGCGCGGGCTTGTCCTGTCCCCGCAGTGGTCCTACGGCTTCTATCTGATCCACCTGCAAGGGAAGCAGGGCTTCCAGTTCTTCTGCAAGACGGAGGACATGAAGCGGCGGTGGATGGAGCAGTTCGAGATGGCCATGTGAGTGGCCCCAAGCAGGTGCCAGAGTGGCGGAGGCCCTGGGTTTTCTTGGAGATGCTCCTGGCGAGAGTGGTGCTGCAGCTGAGATGAGACCCCTCACCCTGGGGGGTGCCGAGCCTTGAGGGTGTCCACTGCCCCTGCCATCGCAGGCAGGCTTGGCCACGCGGTCAGGTGGTCCCTGCCCCATCCCCACTTTGCACTTGTGACCCAGGGACGGTTGGGTGGGTGGTGCCCCTCATGGACACACTGGGCAGGGGACAGCTGGTGGCCTGAACTGGGGCAGTGACACGTATTTGCAGGGTTTGACAGAGACAGGCAGTGCTCATCCTGAGTCCTGTGGGGTGCATTAGAGCCCCACCTGCCCCTGCAGCTCTCTTGCACCCCAAGATACCACCCCGGCCCTGTCCTTCCCACAGCCTGCCCAGGGTTGGGCAGAGCCAGGAGAGGAGTCTGGGCCCCCAACCCTGCACAGCCAGCCCCGGGGTAGCTCCCGTGTCACACACGTGCAGCGCCTGCTATCTCCCGCCAGGTCCAACATTAGGCCGGACAAAGCCAATGCCAACCACCACAGCTTCCAGATGTACACATTCGACAAGACCACCAGCTGCAAGGCCTGCAGGATGTTTCTCCGGTGGGCCTCCCGCAGCACCTGGGGCAACTCGTCTTCTGCCGTGGGGCCTGGTGGAGGCCCCAAGGGACTGGGAGCACCCATGGGAGTCAGACTGGCCTGGGCCCTGGCGCCTCAGGTGCACCCAGAGAGGGTTGTACAGGGTGTTCAGGACAGTGTGGAGGGCCGGGAAGGTTGAAGGATAGGAGGGGCACTGGAGACCCTGGGTTCCACTTGGGCGGGTGGCCAGTGAGTGTAGGGTGGGGGTGGGGGACCATGGCTCTGACAGGCTGAGGTGCGAGGATTGGGTGCAGCTCAGCCTCATCTCCAGCCTCCCGCAGGGGTACCTTCTACCAGGGCTACCTGTGCACCAGGTGTGGCGTCGGGGCCCACAAGGAGTGCCTGGAGGTGATGCCGCCCTGTAAGATCAGTGAGTACCCATTGCACAGCCCGTCACCTCTGTGTCCCGCGGTGTCCCCTGAGCCACCCAGCCCCGAGGTGTCAGTCTGAAGATGCAGACCCTGGGCAGTGGCAGTGTGGTCCTAGGGATAGCCCGGCAAGTTCAGGGCACTGCTGAGGGCTAGGCCTCATTTCCTGTGTCCAGGGAGGGCCCCTGTTCCATGCCTCCCCTGAGGGCTGGGAAGCAGCCACCCAAGGAGGCTAGCTGGCCATGTCCCCTGTGGTGGGACGCAGCTGGGCAGGCTAGCCCATGTGGGAAGCAGGCTCTTGCACTTGGCATGGCCACGGGTCACTGCTCCGCTGCCGGACATGTGCTTGTCACCGTAACCGCACAGTGAATCAGGAAATGTCCCCATCACCTCTGTCCTCTGCTCCAGAAGTAGGCTTGAGACCCCCAGCGACTGTGAGCTGCTGTCCATGGGGAGTATGTTGGGTCCCAGTCGCTGTCCCTAGGCCTCCTGTCTCATTGGGCCGCTGGGAGACAGTGGTCAGGCAAGCTTGGTCCTGAGACCCTGCCAAAAGACATTTTAGTCATGAGCTTGGATGAGAAATTGCTCTGACCTTTACCTAGAGTGCGGGTTGGGCCCTGAGCTGGGTGGACTGATCCAAGTGGACTGGTCACCCAGCCCCTATGCCCCATTCTGGGCCCACGCCTGGTGGGTCAGGCTCTTCCTTTGCCATCAACACTGCCCTCTTGTGGTCACGCGTGTCGTGTGCCGGGTGATGCCTCCCTGCAGTTTCACCATTGTAAAACATCCTGACTCCAAAAGGAATGTAACTGATTGTCAAAAACCCTGAGGAGGGAAAAGGAGAAGAAACGAGAGAAAGAAGAAAAGAGAGATGACCATGACCTTACCTAGGAATACCTGAGGCAGTGTTTTCGCCTATTTTAAGTTTGCTTTCCTTAGAGGATGATCTCTCTGTGTTACCTTTTTCTCCTCCTGATGATCTGATGCCCCTTTCCTGTGGAGAGTTAGGATGTGGAAAGATGCGTAAAGGGGAAAAGCAGCCCGTGCCCCTGTGGGTCCCTGTATGGCCACCCTTATCTCCTTATCTGTGCCCAGGGCCAGCACCAGGCACTGCCATCAGGCAGCTGCCGCCTTGAAACAGAATTGGCCTGGGCTGGAGGCCCCGGTGCCCTCTCGGGTCTGACACGCCACCTGAGGCCCCACGAGCCCCCCAGAGCCAGAGCTTGAATCTGTCAGAGCCACTCAGAGGTGTTCCTGGCCACACTCCGTCCACGTGTCTGAAACATGTGGCTCCCACCTGACCCCTGTCCCCTTCCTTTGCAGGCTCTCCCGCAGACCTGGTGAGTCCCGCACATCCCCCTGAGCCACGCGTGCCTCCAGCCCATTGGTCACAAGGGGCCTTCATTTCCCTCCGTGGATGTCAGTAGAAATGGGGCCCCATGCACAGCCCTCGGGGTGCCCCGAGAGCTGTGGTCCTGTCCCAGCCCCTGCTGCAGGGACAGTGCTGTGACCTGCCCGGCCTCCCCACCTCCAAATCCCCTCTGCAGTACGGAGCCCTCTTTAGCTGACACAGGGATGCAGTCACAGCGGGGCACGGAGTCTTCCACAAGCTGTAGGCAACAGACAAATGAGTTGGCATTGTAGAGGTGCATTCCAGGCCTCAAGGCACAGTGATGCCCTCCTTAGCTGGGCGTGAACCAGATGAAGACCATGAATTCTGGGCCTGGGGTGGTCAGGGCGGGCTTCCTGGAGAAGGAGCATGGGAAGTAGAGGAGGGTCATAATGTCTAGCACAGGTTCCTGCCCTCCCTTGTCCCTGCCTTAACTCTTCCACCGGGGATGGGGATGGGGACCCTTCCACAGGACCTCTGTGGGGGCAGAGGTTGCTGGGGGTCTTCCCTTATTGCTGTCTTCTGTCCCTCCCGCAGGACCCCCCTGGAGCAGGACCAGGTGAGTGCTGGGCCGTGCATGCTGTGTCTGTTGGTGTGCTGGTGGCTGTGCTACCCCTGCCCTCTTGCCTCCTGGGGGCAGCTGAGGTTCTGACAGCAGCTGCAGAGGGTCAGTGCCTTTTCCACGGAGAGGCACTACACTTGCCCAGCGGCCCCAGGAGTGGCGTGTCAGTGCCCTGGAGCGTTGCCCAGGTCCTTGTCTGCTCCCGCTGTGGCCAAGGTCTTGAAACCTGCACAAGCCTCAGTGCAGTCCATGCTGGGCAGCTGTCCAGCTGTCACCCAGGGAGGAAAAAGTCCAGGCAGCGCTGCTGCCACTGGGGCACTGCTTGGAAACCACCAGTGTGGAGCTCCCACCACGCAGCCTGACCCAGCTCCTTTGCAGCTCGGAGTGGGGATGGGCAGCTCCCTCGGGAGCAGCCTCACATTCTGTGGGGGCTCAGTTGGCACCCCACTTGGTGCCCAGCCATCTCTCTCTAGCCTAGTGCCCTTGGTCGAGTCCCCAGGCCGCTTGCCCCTGCTCACCTGTGCCTGAGAGGGTGAAGCACTCTGGGACAGTGTGGGATAACCGAGCGAACCCTGTGCCATCCATCCCCACAAATCTACTTAGGGTGTTTGTCAGGAAGGTATAGGCACCGTGTGGAGGATGTGGTGCGACACCAACCATGTCTGTGTGTTGGGGTGGACCTGCCCCAAGGTGCTCCTGGAACTGGGGGAGACTGGAGGCCCAGCTGGGCCAGCCAGGCAGACTGGCTCCGGGTCCCCATTGAGCCATGCCTCCCCCCCCCCCCCCGTGCCCGCAGGTCCCAAGATGGTGGCTGTGCAGAATTACCATGGCAACCCTGCCCCGCCCAGCAAACCCGTGCTCTCCTTCCAGACGGGCGACGTGATCGAGCTGCTGCGGGGTGACCCTGAGTCGCAGTGGTGGGAGGTGGGTGCCCCCTGCTGCCCTTGCATCCCTGGGGGACGTCCAGCAGGCAGTGTCCAGGGCCCTCACCCCTTCTGCCTCAGTGGCCCCTCCTCTGATGCCATCCCTGCCTCTGCCCACTCTGCCCCCTTCTCAGGCTAGCACCCTGGGGCCATCACCATGGGGAGCCAGGCCCTGCACCCTGTCCCCATCTTGATACATCCTTGTGTTGTGGTCCATGGTCCTGAGCCAGAAAGTCACCACTTTGCTCCCCGGGCCATAGAAGTGGCGCCGTCAGCCCCACCCCCCCTGGGCCACTCACCGTGGGCAGCCATGGCACTGGCGGTGGTCCTATCCTCTGATCATCCTCGTGTACACCTGAAAACAGACTGGCAGCCATGTGGCTGGAGGGGGAGATGGTGCTGGAGGGGTCTTATGTGCTGTCTCCGTCCTGTGTGTCTCCCGGCCTCCCACCCCCTCCCAGCTGTGACCCATCTGTCCCTGGTGGCTACTCTGCTGGGCCTGTGTCCTCCCTGTGAAATGGGGACAGCCCTCGCTCCCTCTTGTCCATGAAGGACCGGCCGAGGCGGGGGTAGGTGCTGCTTACATCGGGACGGGGTTTTCATAGCTGAGTCCCTGAAATGGCCTGGGTGTCTTCCTCAGGGGCGGCTGCTGCAGACCAGGAAGTCCGGGTACTTTCCCAGCTCCTCAGTGAAGCCCTGCCCGGTGGACGGAAGGGTGAGTCCCTTCCCAAGGTGTGTCCACAGCATGGTGGCCAAGCCCAGGGCCTTCTGTGCGCACCTGGCTCACCCAGGGTGTCCTTGCTCATTGGCTGCCATGACAAGGTCCGGGGCCTCTCCGTGGGGTTGGTATGCTGGGCTGCTGTGTCTCTGTGGCTCCCCCTGCCCTGTGCCGGAGAGGTAGAAGGCCCCACATTGGGAGTGCAAGCTGGACTCACACTATTGGGAAGAAAGGCCAAAGAGGGTGGTGCTGGACACTGGAGGCAACAGAGCCAGGCCTTGCTGATTGTGAAGGGCAGCGGCCTGCACCCTAAGGAAGCCGAGTCACCCCAGAGGCTGCCGAGCTTCTCCCTGGGGCAGGGGAGCCTGCGGCTGGCTGGCTGCCTCTGTGTTGGAAGAGGAAGTGTCAGTGTGCGGCCTCCTTGGACAGACCAGGGGCCCCTGGGAGGAGAGACAGGGGTCACCAACTTACAGGGTGCCCAGGGTCCCCTGTGCGTGTGCATGGGCTGTGAAGCGGGCAGGGAGGCCCGGGTTGTGGGTTCCAGCCCTGGGGAGTGGGGGCTGTGTCTGCCGGGCAGCTTGTGCCCACTGCCCACCACCACCGCCTAAGACTCCCCACCCTGGGGGTTAAGTGCTCTGCACCTGTGCCTTCATATGAGTCATTTGCTGAAGCCCCCCAAGCAGCAGAGGGGAGCCTGGCTGTTACCCTAGCAGTCCCACACATCCCCGTTTTGGGCCCGAAGTCTTCTGGGCTCCTGTGGTTGACATTCCCTCCACCTACCCTCAGGGACCCTGGGGACGCTGACACCCTGTGTTCTGTCCGCAGCCACCCATCAGCCGGCCGCCGTCACGGGAGACCGACTACACGGCCTATCCTTGGTGAGTGGGTTGTGGGCCATGGGTGTGGCATTCGATGGCTCCAGGTTCATGCAGTGGCCCTGGGGTTCCCGGGGCCCTGCAGTTGGCCGGCAATGACCTCCTTGATGGAGAAGCAAATGGAAATTTAGTTTCTGCTTTGGTGGCACAGAGCTGTCAGGTCCTGACCCAGGAGCACAGGGCATGCACTGTCCAGCAGTCCGTTTTGAGTTGGCTGCTGTCTCCACCATGGCTCCTAGACACCAGAAGAAGTCAACTGACTGCTACTTTTTTTTGTTGTATTTTTTTTATTTTTTTTTTTATTGGTACCAGGTATCAAACTTATGACTGCCTGCTTGCAAGGCAGGTGCTTATGCTGCTGAGCTAAATCTCCCCGCCTTATTGTATTTTTTTGACACGTGGTCTTGTTGTCTGGTTCAGGCTTTTAATTTTTATATTTTTGGGAGGATTGAGATAGGGTCTCACTCTGTAGTGCAGGCTTGAACTCTCAGGGATCCTCCTGCCTCAGCATCCGGAGTGCTAGGATGACAGGTGTGCGCCACCATGCCTGGCAAAAAGTGTAGTGTCGTGGGTGAATGTTCACTGCCACCTCCCAGCATTGCGTCACAGAGCCCATCCCCGGCCTAGGTTTGCAGGCAACATGGAGCGGCAGCAGACGGACAACCTGCTCAAGGGCCACGCCAGCGGCACCTACCTCGTCCGGGAGAGGCCCGCGGAGGCTGAGCGCTTTGCCATCAGCATCAAGTGAGTGCCAGCCCTGGGGCTTCGGGGGACCCTCCTTGTTCCTGGGCCACGTCTCAAGCCAGGGCACTGACATGCCACAAGCCAGTGATGGGTACTGAGGGTCTGCCGTGACCTCAGTGGGTCAAAGCCCCTTGTGGCAGCCTGTGTCCAGGACTGGGCCTCTCTGGTCTGCTGAGCACCACGGGACCTAGCCACCTGGTGCCCAAGGCGGCTCAGCTTGTGCTGTAAGAGTTGCAGGTGACAGAAGCCAGCGGGGAGGGGTCTCCTGTGGACACCCAGCCCTCCTGTCTCCTCTGTGCCCAGCCCTAGGCTGCCCCCAGCTGCAGGGCTTCAAGGAAGTGGCCTGGGGGGGACAAGCCCCGGGTGGCTGTGGCAGGTGTGCAGCAGGACTGGAGGCAGAGCACAGAGAGGAAGTGGTGGGGCCACCCGGGGGCGCGTGACCCTCGCGCGGTGACCACTGGTCCTGGTTCAATGCCCAGGTTCAATGATGAGGTGAAACACATCAAGGTGGTGGAGAAGGACAGCTGGGTTCACATCACGGAGGCCAAGAAGTTCGAGAGTCTCTCGGTGCGTCTGTCCATCTGTCTGCCTGTCCCTCTCTTCCCCGACCCTGGGCCTGGCCAGCCCACTTCTCCCAGGCAGGGAGATCCCTCCCAGCATGGGCAGTGGGACCTCAGGGCTAGATCATACCCTGAGGCTAGGACTTATGAGCCCTGGAGCCTGTGTTGGGCGGGTGGCCCTGTGCACAGCAGGAAAGGACCTTGGGTCACTGTGTCACCCAGCCCCAGGCCGCCCTTCCCCTGCTGGTCCCCTGTGAGTGACTTTGGAATCAATTAGCTGTTTTTCTCCCACATCCTAAGTGGCGTGCACCGAGATCCCCAGGCTAGGACAGTGCCTCCCTCTGTTCTATGACTCCAGAAGGAGAGACAAACAGGAAGTGTTTGAAGTGCCACCCCCCAAACCCAGGGGCCAGCATGGTGGGCCAGAGCAAACACACTGGCCTTGCTGCAGGGTCCTGATGACCTCCAGGGTGGCCCATCTTTGCCCTTGCCAAATCCTCTTTCCCTGGCCAACAGCTGCCTGGCCTCTGTCGTGTACGTGAGTCCTGTCCCACACTGGACACAGGGCATCCAGTTTCTGTCCTATATCAGGAAGTGTGGTGGGCAACATCCCTGATAGTCATCCTCGGTGTTCTTCAAGATTATTCCTCTAAAAAAAAAATCTCAAAAAAAGCCAGGTTTGGTGGCTTACGCCTGTAATCCCACCACTCCAGAGGCTGAGGCAGGAGGATCAAGTTTGAGACCAGTTTGAGCTACAAAGTGAGCTCAGGGCCAGCCTGAACTGCATAGCAAGGCCCTATATCAAAAAGAAAAAAGATTATTCTTGTAGGAAATTTGGGGCTGCAGTTGCAGGGCCAAGTTCTAGCCATGGATTCCCAGCCTGGGCTGGGGAGGAGCAGGGAGTGGGGTTCCCGGGTGCTGACACTGTGCCCTGCAGGAGCTGGTGGAGTACTACCAGAGCCACTCACTCAAGGAGAGCTTCAAACAGCTGGACACCACGCTCAAGTACCCCTACAAGTCCCGGGAGCGCGCTGCACCCAGGGCCCCCAGCCGCTCCCCAGGTAATGCTGTGCCGCTGCCTGCTGCTCTGCCCGCCCTTGGCAGGACTCAGGTCCTCAGGGCCACCTGTGCCCCCTCTCGTGCCTCATGACAGACAGGGACCCACTCCAGCTCCCTCCTGCTTGATCTTGGCTTCCAGCCCAGAGCCCAGTGTGGGAGGCCCTGTGCTTAAACCCTTGTAGGATGGAGAGTGCAAGGCCTACAGAACCTGGCCCCTGGGCCCTGGCCGGGCAAGGCCTCCAGGAACTGGGAGCATGTGGCTTGTTGCCCCTGCCCTCCAACTCACAGGGATCGAGGGGCACGGTGTCCCTGGGCAGAGCCAGCAGCAGAGCAGATGCTGGCCTTGAGCCACATCCCGCAGGGTGTTGGCCTCCTCCCTGTACCCCTGTCTGCATCCTGTACCCCTGCCCGCAACCCACACCCCTGCCTGCACCCTGCGTCCCTGGCCACCCCTGCTACCCACATGCCTGTCTCACACTCTCTCTCGCCTCTTTGCAGCGTCCTGTGCTTCCTACAACTTCTCTTTTCTCAGTCCTCAGGGCCTCAGCTTTGCCCCCCAGGGCCCTTCTGCTCCCTTCTGGTCAGGTACTGCTGCCCCCAGGGCCCCGTCCTGCCCTTGCCGGCCTCCACCGCTGTCAGCTTGTAGCTCATCAGCTTTGCCTCTGGTGGTGGGAACGTGGGGGCCCCTCCAAGTGGGGCTGGGAGGCCCTGGGACTCCTGGTAGGGGGACGGGGTCTCTGTCAGCCATGACTATGTGGTGACTCCCACCAGAGCCAAAGCCCCTCCTCAGTGGCCATGCGTGTCACTCATGCTCACCCATACCCCTGGCACTCCCAGGCCCCTGCTGAGCTGGCTCTGTTTTTGGCGTGGTTTGGGCTCTGGGGTGGGCAGGCCCAGAGCCACAGCGGCCCGAGTAGAGCAAAGCACAGCCCCACAGGCCCAACCTGGCCCGGTCCCGGTATGCCAGAGCCTTGCTCTCTGGGTGCAGGGCTGGGCGTGGGACATGGGGGAACACAGCTCAGCCTGACGCCCCCGGCCCGGCTAGGCTCCCGCAGCCGCGTGACACTGCCCCTCTCCCTGCAGTGTTCACACCCCGAGTCATCGGAACAGCAGTGGCCAGGTACAACTTCGCTGCGCGGGACATGCGGGAGCTGTCGCTTCGGGAGGGCGACGTGGTGAAGATCCACAGCCGCATCGGTGGGGACCAGGGCTGGTGGAAGGGCGAGACCAACGGCCGGGTGAGTGCCTGGGGCCCTGCCCAGAGACCCCATGGGGACTGACCAGGCGCCCTCTGACCCTGCTCAGCCTCATCCTCAGAGCCACCCTGCAGGCTGGCCTCATGGAGGGAAACTGAGGCTCCAGATGTTTACCCTTGTGGGCCCAGGGTCCCACGGTGTCAGATCTGATCAGGGCCCTGGGCTCTGGCCTCCTCTTCCTGCTCTGTCTCAGCCTAGGTCTCTGTCACCCAGCAGGGTGTGCAAGTTCCCTGTGCCACCAATTAGGAAATGTGCTGCCTGGCTCTGGCCTCAGCCACCCACGGGTGGTAGCCAGGCAGCCTCGGTCGCTGTGCTGAGCGTCCATTGCCTGGTGCAGGAGCCAAGCTGCCTCGCCTGGGCATGGCCTCAGCCCGTGCAGGCCTCGGGAGTGGTCTGGTTTCCTCCCAGATGCCCTTCAGCAGGGGGCTGTGGCCTCGAGGCCTGGATTACAGTGCTCTAAGTACTCCTGTGTTGGTGGCACAGGAGGCAGCTGGGGCCATTACGCACCTGTGTCCTCACCAAGTCCCAGCGGTTTCTGCGTAATTAGATTTAGAACCTCTGGCCTCGGGACTGCTAATGACTGTGGATAAGACCCTGCTGTTGTTGAGAAATGTCCCTTTTCACTGCTGGCAGTGCTTACAGCCAACTTCACTTTCAGAGGACTCCAGCATTCCTTGGGATTGGGTCTCGAATAATGTGCTTTTCTCTCTTCCTGTTTCCTTGCATTTAAGATGGGTCTCACTCACAGGTGGGTTTTTCCAAAAGCCAGTGTGACCTGTCATCTCTGCCTTTTAGCAAGCACATGTTGCTCATTTATGTTTAATGCAATCATGGGGCTATGGTGGGGTCAACACATCACCTCATCACGTATTCATCACAACCCTTTTTTTCTTCTTGACCACTGCTGGGTTAAGCAGTGTTCTTGTCCTTCTGAGCCACGTCTTCCCTTAATTGGTTAGCTACATAGCCTGGCCACCACGTGTCTGTCCGAGAGGCAAAGACGGGTGCCCTCCTGCTTAGTGACCACCTGCAGTTCCTCACTGTGCTCATCTTCCTCCCCTGTGAGGATCGCACTGGGCCTCAGTTCTCCGTATTTTTACCACTTGAGGTGAGCTGCAGAAGATACATGCCTCTGACCTGTGTGTGTCCTGAGCTCAAGCCAGCTCCACTTGCCGCGACCCTGAACCCGGTCCTGGAACGAGCCCAGGTCCTCTGTGGCTTGGATGTGTTCTGAAGTGTGGGGCCAGTTGTTCTGTAGAATGTGCTGCAGCCTCTTCAGATTTGTGTGACTCGTGGCAGATTGAGGTCACAGATTCCTGCTGGGGACACTGTGACAGAGTGTCACTCTGCCGCAGGGCCACCGTGTCCTGCCAGGAGTGTGTGATGCGAGTGGTTCCCTTTATCTGTGACCTTAACTTTGATCACTTGGTGGTAGTGACGTCTGCAGGGTTCCTCTTGTGTGAAGTTACTGCAGTTAATAAGCAGCCTGCCGGGCGAAGTGGTGCACGACCGTGATCCCAGCGGCTGCAGAGACGGAGGCGGGCATACCCCAAGTTCAAGGCCAGCCGGGCAATGAAGCCAGCCCCTGCTTCAATGTAGAGAAGGGAGGGCTGGGGTGGCGCTCACTGGTGGAGCATTTGCCTAGCAGGTGTGGGGCCCAGGCTCCATCTCCACAGCAGGAAAGCCGTTTGCAGCACAGTACAGAGGGGATCAAAAATCTGGTGAATGTCTTTAAAAATGTTTTTTATCAGTAAAAGATACATTGCCATGAGTCTCCCCCTAGATTCTCTCCCCGGCTTTCCTCGTCGCCACTTCTGAGGCAGCTCTGGAAGTCCTCTTTCATTGATTTTGTTTTGTTTTGTTTTGTTTTGGTACTGGGGATCGGACTCACCATCTTGTGCTTACAAATCCAGCACTTGAACCCGAGCTAAACCTGGGCCCTCACCATCAGGTTTTTAAGCACCTGCCTTTCCGTTGACCACTACTGTGCAAGTAGGCTTTGCGGTACTATCGATCACACCTTGTAAGGACGCTTGTGAGAGAGGCCCCGGGGCTGCTGCGGAAGGTGGCAGGCGCGCCGAGCGTGTTTGGAGTGAGAGCTTCTCTGAGGGGGGCTCACGGCACTGCCTTTCCCTGTGACGTTTTTCCCTAAATGCACGCTGTGGTTTTGGGCCCCACTGTGCGGACTCGGGCCTCTGTGCAATCCCGCCAGCTTCGTCTGCAGCCACACCAGCCAGAGCCCAAGAGCGCTTTTATAAAACTGCACCTGCATGGAATATGTGTAGACCTTCCCCTCCTTACACCCTAAATGAGGCAGTGCGGCAGCTCTGCACGGGGTGTCCCCATGGTCACCGGGAGCACCTCGGGTTTTGTGTGAACCCCACACCTCTCCCAGAGGAGGCTGGAGCGTCCCCGCTTGGGTGTCCAAGGGTCCTGGGGGTACCGGGCGCAGCTGCTCTTGGAGACTGGGCCAGCAAGCCGTCCCTCTCTGCACCCCCGCCCCCGCCCACTGTGTCTTCACCGTTTCTTCACTCGGGCCAGTCTGTCTGTGTGCCAGTTACTTCTGACCGTCCTTGCTCCAACTTGCTCTTCTCTGCTCCCCTGAATGGCTCCCTTCTCCAAGGAGCCCCCGTCCCTCTTGTGAGGAATCACCCTCCTTGTCTGGAAGGGTCTTTCCGATGGGCGCAGGACTTGGGGTGCTGGGGCCTCATGCTGCTGCTCCTTCATGGCATCGCCCCAGGGCCCCCCAGCTTCCACCATGTCTGCCACGCTGTCCTCACTGGGCTCCTGGAAGGCTGCTGTGTCCCCTGTGTGCCCGGGCGTCAGATCTCACGTGGCCTGTGTCCTCCCTCCCGCCCTTCCCACTGTCCTTGGTCACTGTCTGTCCCCTGTCCCCGCTGCTCTCACCGTCACACCTGTTGGGTCTCAGCTGCAGTCTCGGCATCCCCTGTCCCAGGCTGGTTGCCCTGGGGTCCCAGTGGTTGCTTGTCTGTGACATCGGTCCACCGCCTGGCCGGTTCCCGCCGTACCCACGTGCACAGGCCACCGGTGGGCCGTGACCCCTCCCTCTTTGCCCTCTTAGCTGGCCAAGGCCGGCTGGGTTGCTTTTTTGGCCCACCAGGCCCTCAGCCCTGCCCCAGAGCCCCTTTGCTTCTAAGGGTCCTTGGTCTCACATGCTCGGCTGTCCCCGGCTATCCCTGGCTGATCCTGGCTGGCAGCCACCAGTGCATGTGTGATCTAGCCTGCCATCTCTTTTCAGATCGGCTGGTTTCCCTCGACCTACGTGGAAGAGGAGGGCGTCCAGTGACCGCAGGGGCCCAGGCAGCGTTTGAGGATTTTCTCGGGAGCGTGTCCCTAGCCCTGAAGTCTGTCCCTGGCTTCTCCGTGACTCCCAGGGAAGACGCCCACCAAGCCGCCTGGCATGGAAAGCCTGGAGGGGTGGGAAGGGCGCCCGGAATCCCGATCTCAGACTGTTTCCCTGCCACTTGCCCCGGTGGCCTGCTGTGGGTCATGCTGCTTGTACATAGAGGAAGCTGGGCCATCCCTGCCCAGCGTGGATAGGTGGCCGGTGCCAGCCATGCTGCAGACCGGGCCCTCGTTGGTGGCAGAGACCAGAGGCTCATCGAGTTCCCCTCTGGAGGAGACGGCGCTCGGGTGTCTGGAATTAAATAGCAGATGGTTCTGGGGCTGGGACATCACCCGGCCCATCTCTCAACCCCTGGACTCCGGCCCTGTCTCTGCTGCTCTCGGGGCTCCCAGCCCAGGGCAGCAGCAGGAACCAGAGCCAGGCTGTTTGCCATGGTCCTGCTCAGCCCACTGTGCTGGGGTGCACAGGGAGAGAGCTCCTGGGGGCCCCCAAGTCCTGCTGGCTCCTGAGACTTCCCCCAGCATCCCCGTTTCCCACCACACGGGGCCTGCAGACCCTACAGGGTGGCTCCTCGGGCGTGCTTGGCAGAGGCCCAAGGGATGATGACACTGCTGGCCCCGACCCTGGTCCATGGTACTGTTCTCGGCCTTGCTGAGGACCCCTCTCCTGAGCCTGCTGCCCAGTGACATGCCTTCTTTAGGGGGCCCATCACCATGCCCCACTGCCCACCCACTTTCCCTCTGTGTCCCACACGGGACTCCCGGGCTCTGCCAGCCTTCGTGAAATCAGTTCTGCCCCAGGCCTGGTCTCCCTCCAAGGGCCACTTCGGTCCACTCTTGGGCCATGGTGAACCAGAAATAAGTTCCCTTGGGGGTGGCTGTACCCTGTTACCTCTCCCTTGTCCTCACTATCCCAAGGCAAAACTTCTGGGCCCAGCCAGGCTTCTCCGAGCCCTGTGTCCTTGGCCAGCTGCACAGCCCCGGTCGAGGAGTGGCCAGGGCCGGGGTGGGGGTTTGCCCTGTCTGGGAACTGCACAGGCCCTGGGGGCCTCAGGTCAGTCAGGCTCGTAGCCCGGGCGCTGGGTTTGCAGGCCCAGCAGCCGGGCAGAGGAGGAGAACAGTGAGGGGCAGTGAAGAGTGGGCTCAGAGAAGGGGCGCAGGCCTTGGGGGTCAGCGTCCTGGTGCCTTGAGCTGGCCTAGGATGGCAGGGAGCGCGCAGTCCCCGCAGGTTCACCGGTCGGGGCTTTCTTGCGGGTTTTTGTTCCTTTGTGTTTTGTTCAGCTCATTTGTTTTTTTAAGAGAAAGAGATGGTGATTATTTCCTGCGTCTCCCGTGCTCCCTCTGTGAGTCGGGGGAGATATTAATGGCAGGCATCAGGCAATGGCTGTTTGTGCTCATGGTGATCCCCGTGTGTCATCACAATGGCAGAGAACACTGAAAAACACGATCCAGAGCCCTGGGTTTTGTGAATGTTTTGTTGTGTTTGTTTTGACCTCTGTGTTTAGTTTGGCTTTGTTTTTGCACTGTATGGAGCAGGGTGGTGGGACCCCGGGATGCAGGTGTGTCGGCAGGAGGTGGGACGCCCTCCGGAGGGCCGAGGACCTGGGCCCAGATCAGCTGTGAACGTTTAGGAGCCCCTTGCATGCGAGTCAGGGATCTGGGGTCCGGCTGCCGCGACCCCAACTGAAACACAAAACTGTACATTTTGCCAATGGGTTTTTTCAGACCACGGTTTTTACTCCAAATAAACCTATGTTCTTTTCTGCTGGAATGATTGGCCTGTTGTACATGGCCCTTTCTTACCCTGAGCCCCACAGTCAGCCCACTCTGGGTCCGAACTGCCTCTGGACACAGTGGCCTTCCCAGACATGCAGCCTTTATCCTCAGCAGTGCCTCATGGTGCAGCATGGCTGCAGGAGCTCCACACCCATGAGGCTGTGGGAGGAACCAGGTACTCTTGTGGCTCTGTAGCCAGGGCCTGCTCAGAGCATTCCTGGCTGCCAAGGGCTGGGAAAATGCAGGGCCCCAGCCACCCTGGAGACCATGGGGTCCCATCACTGAGGGGATGGCAGGGACCATGGTGGTGGTGGGGCAGCAGCTGCATCTACCTTAGAGCTGGCTCACAGATCATTTGGAGGATGAGACAAGAGAACCTTGGCAGATGTGAGTACTTGTTCCAGGCTGGGGTTGAGGGAGCCTGCACTCACCTAGCCCCCCAGGGCCTGGCTCAGGTGGCTGACAGCCAGCACTGCCCTGCTACCCTGGACAGCAAGCCATTCATGTGGCCTGGGAAGGAGGTGACCAGGGTCTGCTTCGGGCTTTGCAACCTGAAACCACTCTGGAGGTGGGGGCACACTGGACCCCAGGCGCCACCTGCCTGTGTCATTCCCCTCCTTGCCCGGCTTCCTGGCCTCAGCTCCAACCCTGCATGCCCACCTGCCCAGGACCTCAAGTGGCAGAGCGCTTCCCTCTGGGCAGTCCTGGCAGAGTGGCCATGCCTCCCTCACCTCGGCCCTGGGGTAAACACATGACCATTTCCTCCTCCATCTGAGGCGGAAGTCAGGTCATGGTGCTGCCCTGGGCTGCTTTCTAGAAGCCTCTCTCACTCAGAGTGGCTGCTGCTTGCCGTATCCTCACCCTGGCACTGCGCAAGGTCCCTGTTCCTGCTGGATTAGGGCTCATGCTTGGTCCTACTAACGCCTGTGTCCTTGCAGAGGACAGCTGGGGGGATGTCAGGGGGCCGCCTGCGGTGAACACCCCAGAGCCGGGTGGAGAGCTGCAGTGGGTGGTTTCTGCCCCTGGACGAGGTTGCTCCAGGCAGCAGAGCAGAGGAGCAGTGCCTCTGGGGTGTCACCTGAGACCACCCCAGTCATGTCAAGCCCACCCAGGTCCTGACCATGAAGGCTGGTGCCCCTCCCTTAGGTGAGCTGGGGTCAGCTCCTGGGCCTCAGTGGAGACCAGGACTCCACTGAGTCTTCACAGTGATGGGACTCACAGTGAGTCCCATCATGCATGTGTGCTAATGAGCATCTGCCATGTCACACACCGCAGGAAGCAGGACGGAAGCTTCTGGAGAGACAGGACACAAACTGGATTTTTTTCCCCTCCTTCCCCTCCCCCTTCCTCTCTGCTCTCTGGGCGCTGTGCAAGTTTCCGCGGGAATCACACATTTCCTGCCTGACCACTTTGGCAATTTGCCTTTATTTATCAAGTATTGCAAAAAATCCAGACTTTCTGTTTGTGTTACTTTCGTGTGTGCAGCCCATTTTAACTGATCCTCAGCTGAGCTGCAGAGCGCTGAACAGGCCAAGGTCTCCTCTGTTGCCTGCGGTGTTTGAGACACGACACAGTGTGAGATACACAGAATGCACAGATGGGCTCAGGAGACCCAGCCCGTTCCAGAAGAGGAGAGAACCTCAGGTGCAGGCTCTGGGGCTGGGGCCTGGGATTCGAACTCTTCCCAGGCACAGGGAGCCATAGCTGCAGGGTTTGAGGGCCCAGGAGCCCCCTCTGCCTAAAGCCAGGCGTTGGGGATCTCCCACTGCTCGGACTAATAGTTGGAGTTTCCAGGGCAGGAAACAGAATCATGGAACGCAGCAAACCTCTAAAACAAGGTTTTTCTGTTTCCAAGACACCCCGTTCCTCAGGACACACAGACCTGGGATAGTGAAGCCCCGAATTCAGGGGGGAGGAAAGCTGATGGGCATCTAAGCACGCAGCAAGTCCTGAGGAGGACTTGCTGTAGGTGCTGCACACCAACCTTCACTGGGGGCCGAGGGAGGGGTTGGTGCCTGCAAGGTCTTGTGCTTGGCGGCAGGGACACGGTGGCCTTGCTGCAGGGCACTTCCTGAAGACATGGCTGCAGGCACAGAGGACTGGATGAGCACGAGCCTATGTCTCTGCGAACAAGTCCTGATCAGGATGGATGACTGGGTTACAGAACATGCAGCCGTCATAAGCTGTCAGGGGAAATGGCCAGTGTCACAAGGTAGGAAGGACAGCTGGGAAGGGACAGAGGCAGGAAGGGGGACAGGACATCGGCCTCCTCAACTGTACTAGGTAAGAGTCAAGGAAAATTTAACTCGACACTCATGGATCGGGCAGGGTTTGCTGAAGGAACAGGTTTAGTGTTACGTGTGATGTGTATGGTGGGATGACAGTAGCTGCTTGTGGAGTGGCGGGTGGAAGAACGCATAAGGGCCATCTGTGTGCCATCTGGCAGGAGGACCCGGCCAGACTCCAGTGTAAGTCCACATTAGAAAGCTAAAAAGTCTGTGCTAGAAGCCCAAAAGAACTGGAGAGGGACATCTGGAGAAGACAACCAGAGCTCCGTCAAAGAAGCAGAAGGGCAGCCTTCCTTTCCCTTTTGATGCTCTCCGAGCCACAAGCCTATTGGTTGGTGCCACCCACATCAGGGCGGATCTTCCCACCTCAGTTCTTGGCCCATGTGTCAGTCATCCAGACATGCCCATAACTGCTCCCCTAATCCTTTAGGTCAGTGATGGTGAACCTTTTAGAGCTTTCATTGATGAGAATAACCTGCTGCTGCTTACGTGCCATAGGTTTGCCACCCCTGGCATTTCTCAGTCCATTCAAGCTGACATCACTCTTTCTTTTTCTTTTTTCTTTCTTTCTTTCTTTCTTTCTTTCTTTCTTTCTTTCTTTCTTTCTCTTTCTTTCTTCCTTCCCTCCCTCCCTCCCTCCCTCCCTTCCTTCCTTCCATCTGTCTTTCTTTCTTTCTCCCTCCCTCCCCCCTCCCTCCCTCCCTCCTTTCTTTTTTCTTTTTTCTTTCTTTCTTTCTTTCTTTCTTTCTTTCTTTCTTTCTTTCTTTCTTTCTTTCTTTCCACAGGGAATCAAACTCACTACCTCGCTCTTGCCAGGAAGACACTGTGCCTCTGAGCTATGCCCCTAGCCTTCAGGTTGACACCACTGTTAATGATCACATCAAGTAACAGAGTGTAAATATAGGATTTCCTGTGGATAAACACAAGGAGAGATGGGTGAAAGATGTGGAAGAGGGAACCCATGGATCTCATCAAAGCTCCCCACGAGGCTCCGGAGACAGGATCTGAGAAAAGGCTTGGCTTGGCTTGGCGTGCACGGTGTGTAGGTGTGTACGTCTCCTGCTGCTGCTGTGACAAGTGACACTGGGCTAGCACACAGCCGTGTCAGCGTAGGGCTGTGGAGGTACAGACCAGCTGAGGGTGACTGACTTCCTGTCCCTCCTCAGTTCTGGAAGCAGCCTGTACCCTGCAGTCCTGGCCCGCACCTCTGTTTTCAGCAAAGTGGCCATGCTGTGGCTGGGTAAGTGTCTCTGCTTTCAGGGACTGGTCATGAGACGTCCCAGGCAGATATCCAGGGCAGTCCCTGTATCAAGGTCCTCAACCCTGGCCACCCATGCAGAGCCTTTTGCAAGGAAAGGTAACATTCGCAGGTCCCAGTGGTAGGATGTGGACATCACTGGGGCCTTCACCTGCCTGCAATGACCAGCAGGTGACATGCCCAGGTCAGCTCCCCTCCCCGGGAAAACAACACACACCCTAAAAAAATAATTCGAATTCCACCTGCAAACTGGTGAAAACGTACACCCAAAGTGAAGTGCAGGCAGGCGCCCAGCGGTGGGCTGGCTTTCTCCTTGTGGCAGCTGCACAGCCAGTGGACTTGAGGGCCAGGCTTGAGGGCATGAGACAAAACCCTGGGCCACGCAGGTGCTGAGTCTAAGGGGGACCCATCTGGAAGCTGGGGCACAGATGGGCCTTGCGCTCAGAGTCAGGATGAGTATGTCCACTGTGTGGTGGGGAATACAGAGAGTGCTCGCCTCGTATTTACTTTTGTGAGAAAGACACATCCCCACTCCCCTTCCTCCGAGTCCTCCCCGTGTTCCAGACTCATCCCGGCCTCCTTGCCGCTTCCAGAAACAGCTCTGGAGTCCTCTTCCATGAGCGTCTTCAGTGGCACTGTCACGGCTGCCTCCATGTCCTAAGCTGATTCAAAACACTGACCTTTTGTGGCCGTTGTGACTCTGGGGAAGTGCCAAAAGCTGCACAGGCTGGAGCCTTCACCCTAAATCACAGGGTCACCCTAAGCCAGTGTGACAGGACAGACGTGTCGTGGGACCTCCATGTAAAGACAGGATAGAGGTCAGGGCAATGATCTACAAGGAACCCCCCCCCCATCACCGACCAAGGACACCAGAGGTCACCAGCACCCCAAGTTCTGGGCGACAGGCCTGGAGCAGATGCTGCTCACCGTGCTCAGGAGGAACCAGCCCTGCAAAGACCCGAGCTTGAACTTCCAGCCTCCAAGATGACGGGAGAAGTTAGTTGAGCCACTCAGTCTGTGGCACATTGTCACCACAACTCTTAGGGCATCGACCCAGGGTGCAACTCTAACTTGGTACTTACTGAAGTGGCGGCCAGGATTTACACTTCCTGTGGTCCAAAAAGCCTGGAGCCGAGCCCTGAGGAAGGGGTCTGGGCTGCTGGAACTCCTGGTCCTAGAGGAAAGGACATGAAAGTGGTCTCTGGAAGGATCCACTTCCAACTTCAGCCTTGGGTAACTCCCAGAGAGGAGGCACCAGGAAACACACACATGCTGTCAGAGAGCACAAATCACACACCGAGGACACAGGAGACAGAAGCCCCAGGCTGCAGCACCAGTCCTCAGGAACGGCACACGAAGGACGAACCTGCAAACAGTGGTGGGCAGTGCGGGTGCATGGAGAGCCAGAGCTACAGGGGAACCGAGCCTCCCAGCCAGAGGGACTGGCAG